ATATATATATATATATATATATATATATATATATATATATATATATATATATATATATATATATCCATATATATCTGTGCTTCCCCTACCATTATACAAGAGGGGAGCCCCACCCCGTCAACAGAACCGAGAGCCCCGTCTACCGAACCCCACCCCCAATCACCTTTCTGCACTGACGTAAAGCTAAAGTAGCGGCTCGCAATGCAGGTGCACTAGCTAAAAAGCTAAAAGCAGCCTCTTCCTTCATGCTGAACCCTGACGCTGAACACACCCCCGCCACTAGAAAACTGTCAGTACAAACAGAGCGCGGCAGTCTCCGTGTCCCCCAAAACAGTTGGTTTAAACAGCGTGAGAGTCTCTGTTCTCTCTCTCTCTCTCTCTCTCTCTCTCTCTCTCTCTCTCTCTCTCTATATATATATATATATATATATATATATATACACACATATATACACACACATAGACTCGGTCAGAGTCAGAGATTCTTTATTGTCGTTCGCACCACATGTGGTACATGTGGTGGAATGGAATTATTTACACTGGGTCCCAGTTACATCCAACAATAAAATGTTAAAGAAAAACAATGATAACATCTAAGATATGAACTAAGAAAAACAAGTACACTGTCTACTTTCTTTTGATGAATGACAAAGAATCTCTGAGTCTGACACATGCACACACACACACACACACACACATATATAATATATATATATATATATATATATGTATATATGCACATATATACATATGTATATATACACACACACACACACACACACACACACACATATATATATATATATATATATGTATATACGCACATATGTACATATGTATATACACACACACACACAGACACACACATATATCCTGCAAATGAACTTTTAATGAACTTTAGTTCACATTTAAATCTCTGATGAACCAGATTCTACAAAAACATCTATATTTAAAATTTTATAGGTTTTCATCATCATTTGATGTATTTGCACTCATTATGTCTACTTTTATTGTTCAGTTTAGATGTGTGGTTCCGTTTCTTGTTCACATATATACATTTTATTTTACTCCTTTACTCCTCTCTGCTCTCTCAAACCATCGTTCCTCTCTATCCAGGATGTGAACATCTTCATCCCTGAAAGAGTGACTGCTGGCCTGGAGATGATTGTAGACTGCAGAGTCCTGGCCTGATGATGTTGATCTTCTGTGCTGGGCCATCCTTTTGGCCAGTGGCTGTGGAATGACCAGTGGTCATTCCGTATGTTGAGGGAGTATCAGAGAAACTGAGACGTTTATTTTCTAAACATAACGTCCCAGTGGCTTTTAAACCCCAAAATACATTACGGCAAAGACTGGTTCATCCCAAAGATCCAGTCCCCCGGCACAAACAGAGCAATGTTGTGTATGTTGTTCAGTGTCAGGAGGGCTGTGATCAGTCTTACATCGGGGAAACTAAACAGCCACTGGCCAAAAGGATGGCCCAGCACAGAAGATCAACATCATCAGACCAGGACTCTGCGGTCTACACTCATGTCCAGGCCAGCGGTCACTCTTTCAGGCATGAAGATGTGCACATCCTGGATAAAGCGAAACGATGGTTTGAGAGAGGAGTAAAGGAGGCCATCTTTGTGAAAAGAAACCGTCCATCATTAAACAGGGGTGGAGCCTACGTGTTCAATTGTCTCCCTCTTACAATGCTGTGATTGCTAGTATCACTCAGCCCTCTGTGAACAGTAAACAGCCATCAGGTGCTAATGATCCATTGTTAGGCCGATGGTCCTTCTTGAGCATGTGATCAGCTGGTTTTGGTTGTCAGCAGCAAAACTGGTTGATCCACTCTGAGAAGGTGCTATTTAAGAGACTGAGCTGAATACAGCACCTCAGACTGAGGAAGTCTCTCGGATGAGAGACGAAACGTTTCTAGATTTTTTTGTTGTTTTGCTTTGCTTTGTTTTGTTTTTTTGAATGTCCAGAGGACCAGATTTAACTTTTTTGGACTGAAACCTGCAGTTTATCGTGATTAAAACTCATATCACCGTTATAGAATAAAAGTATACTGTGACATATATTGATATCGAATTACTGTCCAGCCTTACTGGATACTCAGATGTTGGCCCCAGATGTTCCTGTTACCGAACACCCAGAAGTTGGCCCCAGATGTTTCTGTTACCAGACACCAAGATGTTGGCCCCATATGTTCCTGTTACTGGATACCCAGATGTTGGCCCCCAGATGTTCCTGTTAATTAATACTAGGAATGTGCGATATGGCATAAAATTCATAACACGATATGTATTGTGAAGGGTGGCAATAACGATATATATCGCAATATGTTTTGGGTATAAAAATTAATAGGAATTTTTTAAAAAGCATAGGTGTCCTTTTGCCATCATATATTTTGAATTTTTTTAAAAATTCCACTACTAGGTCCAGAGAGTTTTAAAATAATAAACAAATCAAGTATTAGGCTTCTTGCTTGTGCAAAACAGTGCAAAAGATATCAAATGTAGTTTTAGCCATATGTTTTAAACAAAAGAATATCTTGTTAACTCTTAACAGTTTCCAGTCTTCTCACTTAAGAAATGATCAGCAACAGAGCAGCAACTGAAAACACTTCACCCTCCAATCCTCTAGTGGGCGTCTCCTTCTGCTTTAATGGAGAGCTGACACAAAATGAGTCTGTGGCTTTGACCAGAGGGTCTCACAGTAAAATCACACAACACGGCGTTCTTTTCACAGATCAGAGAGCAGGTTTCTCTAAAGCTGACCAACGCTCAAAATGGGATTTACCTGTATAAATAAAGGTTGATTGATTGATTGATTTATTGCAATATTAAAATATTTGCCTTGAAAAAAAAAAACGCTTACTTTAACTTTCGACGGAAAAAAAAACCTTTCGATGGAACACAGCGTGTTGCACATGCGTCAGAATACGACAACACTATGGCAAGCCGGCTGTAGTTAGCTTGTAGCTTCGCTACTTAGCTCTCAAAGAAAATACTTTAACACCACTTGCACACAGTTTTAAACAAGAAAAGTAACGATTAAATCTGACAACTCTGATTTTATATCAGACACAGCATTACTGCGGTTAGCTGGTAGAAGACAGATCTCTATTGTAGGCTAAATTTCTATCGTTTCTACCGTGTACCGTATATATTGCACAATCCTAATTGATACCCAGATGTTGTCCCCAGATGTTCTTGTTACTGGATACCCAGATATTGAACCCAGATGTTTCTGCTACCGGACACCCAAATGTTGGCCCCAGATGTTTCTGTTACCGGACACTCAGATGTTGTCCCCAGATGTGTGACACTGACCCTCTGCTGGCCCATGCTGAGACGTCGCAGTGACACCTGCAGCACATACTCCTGGTCAGCGTGCACGTCCAACCAGCTGCTGTCCTCTCTCAGGTTGGTCCCTGCAGCAGGAACGGTACGCTCCATCTGCTCCTGGCTCTGCTCCCACCAGCCCTTCACGCTCAAATGGACCTCCAGAACTGGGAGGTGATTGAGGAAAGCCCAGGCCTGACAGAGTAAGAACATGAATAGAGATAGATGTTGGTTTACTAAGAAATACTAAAGAAAACTGGCTGATATCACATCAATAAGCCAGAACATTACAACCAATGACAGATGAAGTGGCTAACAGTTTATACGTTGTCCTGGACACGCTGGGAGCAGAAACAAACCCAAAGATAGTATCTCACAATGTGCAGCTTTCATGAGGGAGTTTTAAAATGCCTTGAAATGTTCATGTGATCTTAAATTCAACTTGTCTGCTGGATTCCTTAGGTAGAGAACTTTACTAATTGGCTTTCATGTATGTGAATGTTTCTGTAAAGTGCCCTGAGAATACTTTGTTGTGATTTGGCGCTACATAAATAAACTGAATTTAATTTAATTTAATTTCCTCACATGGATTTAGAACAATGTTCAAAAAATCTGGCAACACACATTTAGTATGTAAACAGTCAGAGGCATTTTGAAACATTTTCATTTCAGTTTGTGTTATTCTACAGCCAATTCTTCTGTTAGTTTGTAAACTGCAGCAGCTCCATTAGTTAATTTCTACACGATGGGCATGTGTATGTTTTTGTACATGAGTGCAGAAAATATGCACCAAAGCGTTAGTGGAAAATTGTCTGTAATTGCTGAGCCTTTAAAAAAAAACCCAGAATCTTTCATTTTATAAAGCAGAGGAAAAACAAATTACCAGTAATGTCCTGATGCATGCTCAATAATCCAGACAGAAAAATCTAAAAAAGTTCAATCTGGTCCTCTGGACATTCAAAAAAAAAAAAAACAAAGCAACAAAATTGTAGAAAAGTTTCGTCTCTCATCCAAAAGACTTCTTCAGTCTGAGGAGCTGTATTCAGCTCAGTCTCTTAAATAGCACCTTCTCAGAGTGGATCAACCAGTTTGCTGCTGACAACCAAAACCAGCTGCTCACATGCTCAAGAAGGACCATCAGCCTAACAATGGATCATTAGCACCTGATGGCTGTTTACTGTTCACAGAGGGCTGAGTGATACTAGCAATCACAGCATTGTAAGAGGGGGACAGTTGAACACGGAGGCTCCGCCCCTGTTTAATGATGGACGATTTCTTTTCACAAAGATGGCCTCCTTTACTCCTCTCTCAAACCATCGTTCCTCTCTGTCCAGGATGTGAACATCTTCATCCCTGAAAGAGTGACCGCTGGCCTGGAGATGAGTGTAGACCGCAGAGTCCTGGCCTGATGATGTTGATCTTCTGTGTTGGTCCATCCTTTTGGCCAGTGGCTGTTTAGTTCCCCCGATGTAAGACTGATCACCCTCCTGACACTGAACAACATACACAATATTACTCTGTTTGTGCCGGGGGACTGGATCTTTGGGATGAACCAGTCTAATGTATTTTGGGGTTTAAAAGCCACTGGGATGTTATGTTTAGAAAATAAATGTCTCAGTTTCTCTGATACTCCCTCAACATATGGAATGACCACTGGTCTGGGTCTGGGTTCCTCCTTTTCACCTGATGGCTGACTGGAGTCCTGTTTGGGTTTCTTCTCTGCTTTCAGGAAGGCCCAGTTAGGATATCCACGTTGTTCTAGAACCTGTCTTGTGTAGGATTTCTCCTTCTGCCTGGCTCCTGAGTTAGTGGGGATGCTGTCTGCTCTGTGGTACAGAGTCCTGATGACTCCTAACTTGTGCTCCAAAGGGTGATGGGAGTCAAACTGCAAATACTGGTTTGTGTGGGTGGGTTTGCGGTACACCTCAGTTTGCAAATGTCCTCTATCAGAGACTGAGACCTCACAGTCCAAGAAAGCCAACCTGCCATTTTTTACATCTTCTCGTGTGAACTTGATATATTTATCCACAGAGTTGATATGATAAGTAAAATGTTGGACTTCCTGAGATTTAATTTTAACTCAGGTGTCGTCAACGTACCTGAACCATTGACTTGGTTGTGTTCCTGAAAAGGACGTCAAGGCTCTCTTTTCTACCGGTAATGGTGTAAGACACCTTACTTTCTGATTCTTTTAGCTAATGATTTCTTCAGTTACACAGAAACACATCAGCTCACCGCATCCCCCAGCAGACATTTTACTGCGTGTCTTCTGGATTCTTAAAATGTGTTTTGTATAAGAACAATAATAGATATGCTACAAATTTAAGTGAAATACATTAGCACTTCTGTGTAAAAATACAAACCGGATTCCAAAAAAGTTGGGACACTAAACAAATTGTGAATAAAAACTGAATGCAATGATGTGGAGATGGCAAATGTCAATATTTTACTTGTAATATAACATAGATGACAAATCAAAAGTTTAATCTGAGTAAATGTAACATTTTAAAGGAAAAATATGTTGATTCAAAATTTCACAGTGTCAACAAATCCCAAAAAAGTTGGGACAAGTAGCAATAAGTGGCTGGAAAACAGAAATTGAGCATATAACGAACAGCTGGAAGACCAATTAACACTAATTAGGTCAATTGACAACATGATTGGGTATAAAAAGAGCTTCTCAGAGTGTCAGTGTCTCTCAGAAGGCAAGATGGTAAGAGGATCACCAATTCCACCATTTTTGCGCAGAAAGATAGTGCAGCAATACCAGAATGGTGTTACCCAGCGTAAAATAGCAAAGACTTTTGTTATCATCATCAACCGTGCATAACATCATCAAAAGATTCAGAGAATCTGGAACAATCGCTGTGCGTAAGGGTCAAGGCCGTAAAACTCTACTAGATGCTCGTGATCTCAGGGCCCTTAAACGTCACTGCACTTCAAACAGGAATGCCACTGTAGTATGACAGGACAGCTATCGCTGCGGACACACTACTTAATTAATTATTCTCAAGGCTAGTTCAAGCACAAAGAATATTAATTGTTTAATTAACAACGGATTCTTTCTTTTTCGAGTTAAATTTCTTCCATGTGACCAAGATAACTTGAGAGTGGAGTGTATAATTAGTGACATGAGACGTAATTTACCTTTGACCCATCAGAATAAATGCGGTCATTTATTTAACCAAATCAAAATTTAACATCAAAACATGTACACATTGATTTGCTGATCTGTTTCTGATTAATAAACTTAGAAAGTTCAAATAACAAGACAACAGAGGATTACTGATGGAGAATCAATCAATCAATCAATCTTTATTTATGCAGGTAAATCCCATTGAGCCTCGAGGACTCATTTACAAGAGAGACCTGATTTCAACAAAGAAAGATGACAACAATGGACAACAGCAACAACAATAAACAGTTATAAAAAAGCATACTACAGTTTTTTTTTTTTTTAACAAATAGGATGGCTAAAAGGAAAAGGTAACAAAACAAAAAAATAGCTAGATTCCAAGACAAATGTAGAAAACTAACAACAGGAACATGTCAGCATTGGACCCTGCCAGGTGTCCAACAGATTCTTAAAGACACTTAGAGAGGTCAAGGTCGAGAGCTTCAAATCTTTTTGTAAGATGTTCTAGGAAACAGGAGCGGAATAGGAGAAGGCCCTTTTGCCTAGTTCAGTCCTCACTGAGGGAACACTGCATGTAAGAATAATTCATCTCTGAAGGCACTTAGCTTGATTTACTGGCGAATAGAAGTTTAAAGAGAAGGAGAAAAGAAGTTTAAAGAGGAGGATTGAAATGGATGAAGGAAAATGTGTTGACCCGGAATGGCACCCTTCTTTCGACCCCAGCTCAGCCCTCGGTACACTCAGGGTGTGACGACTCTTTACCTTTGCAGAAGATAAATCAGCTCCGGTACAGAGGTCCATTTCATGCTCCCTTTTCAGCGTCTCCGGTCAGAGTGGCTGGTAATCGTCTGAAGTAGTGACGGTACTCCGTTCAACAGAATAAGCTTCCTTAGAAGTTGAGAGCATTTAATGCTTGGGGTGAGTTCACAGCGAGGCATGCTGTGACTCCGCTGAAATGGAGGGACCTTTGGCACATGGTCCAATTCATCAGCTCTTTAGTTCAGCTGTAAGGCTCCAGCAAGACTGCAGTCCCAACCAGAACTCCAAACAGACTTTCAGTAAGAACGTTGGTAACGTACTGTACCCCAGATTCTATGAGTATAGGCGTAGCCCTTTAAGGCCTTCGCTTAGTGGGTTTATCCCGTTATGCGTAAGCATCACACTGAAAAAATTAGTCCACGCCCACCTGCTGTGTGGGCCCCACCCGATCCGTATAAGTTACATTAAGAGCAGGTAATCGGCTCCCAAATAGCTTTATTTTTTCTTCAGCTATTCAGGAGCCAGTGAGGCCCGACGCTTAAAGGGCTACGCCTATACTCATAGAATCTGGGGTTACAGTACGTAACCAACGTTCTATGTCGTATAGGCTTCGCCCTTTAAGGCCTTCGCTTAGTGGGTTAAGGGCGAAGCGGATGTTGTCCTCGTCTCACTGGGTCCATTCGAACACAGTATGAAGCAGAAGCTTGCCCAAAAAAGTCTTGTCACTCAGCTGCCCATGTGCATAATTACGCGTTGCATAGTTATGTGTGCCATACACAGACGCATGTTGTGTAACTATGCGTTCTGAAAAAACATGAACGCCCCGGAAAATTTCAACGGGAAGAGAAGATGTTGGGGGGGGGGGGGGGGGCATGAACCAACTAATTCATGGCTGAACAGTATAAACAGATTAATAACAACAAATGAACTGATTATTAATCAAATGAACTGATTGGTAACAATAGTCATGAACTGATTAGTGACAATAGAACCAAAATCACAGACACAACTTGTGACTGATAACAACATCTCACACTATGAAGCATGCAGACAGATGTGAGCTTAAACAGAGTTCCATGAAAACAACAATATTCATTCTGTTAGAACACTAAGGACAGAATGTGTCATGGAACGAGCCGTCACATCACGTAGATAAAAGCGAATGAATGAGCAGGGTGTTGACCACGCGGCCGCAGTGCAAATGTCCTGCATTGACATACCATTATGCAAGGCAGTCGAAGATGCGATACCCCTGGTCGAGTGTGCTTTGAGGTTGACAGGAGGCTCTAAATCTGATGCT